TTCTCTTTCAAGCAAGGGAGAGTGTCACGTGCTCTTTCCTCCAAAACACAACTCTCTTAACTAAAAATAAAGTAAAGGCAAAGGGAAGATAAGCAAAGTGCTGTATTTTTATATATTTGAATAAGTAGAAAATGACTAAGTACAAATGGAAACAAAACAAAGCTTAATAAAGGAATGTAAAGTGCTCGAGATTTAAAATCCAAAAGTAACTAATGAAAGCAACTCAAAAGTACTTAGAAAGCAACAAAGAAACACTAAAAATGATCAAGAGAAGGAAGCAAGGCTTGATCAATTTGGTGGAGAAGTTGCTGGAATTTATAGCTGTGCAGAATTGGTTAGGTAGGTCCTAAAACGATGGTGAATCACCCATTTCCAACTCTTTTGACTGACCAAATCGTGCTCAAACTGATAGTGGAACACTTCTTCTACACGTATGCATCGGTTGGAACCACCAAAACGCATTGGAAGACGCGTTTCATTAAGGGCAAAGTTGGAAGAAAACCTGTTTTTCTGCAGGCTTCCCAGGCGCTTGGCGCCTCCCATGTAAGTTTTTCCGTCTTTTTGCTTATTTTGATTAATTTGCACTCCCAAATGGTCCTAAAATGTCATAAATACAATATAAGCCAACCACAAACCATAATATATGAATTTTGCATGAATTGAAACTCAAACGATCGAGAAAAATCCGAAACAAAGCTGAAACATTGTAAAAACAGCATCTAAAACCTTCTTTTTACGCATGTAAACAAGCGTAATCACTAGGGGAGATTTCAACTCTGTGCGCTGGTCTCACGAGAAATCGACCTACCACAGACCAACTAGAAACATGCACCACTTCAACTCCTTCATTGAACAAGCCGGTTTACAGAATCTCCCTCTTACAAATGGTCTTAATATGTGGTCGGATTTCAGGGATCCTCCCTCTCTCACCTTGATTGACAGATTTTTAGCTACTAATGATTTTCTTTTGAAATTCCAGAACGTATCTGTCAAAAGACTGAATCGCCCAACATCCGATCACTATCCACTACACCTTTCTTTTGGCTTGTCAAAATGGAGCCCCACACCTTTCAGGTTTGAAAATGCATGGTTGTAACATCACTCCTTCCCTCCTCTGATCGAATATTGGTGGAAGAACACCCCTCTAAGAGGCTGGCTAGGCCACAGTTTCATTATGAAACTCAAGGGACTGAAAACAGTGATTAAAACATAGAGTAGCTCTACCTTTGGCAACATCACACAACAAAAAAACCAACTCATTACTGAGATAGCCATTTTGGATAATCTTGAAGAGGAAGGGCTCCTAAACATAGTACAACATACCCAACGGAAATCTCTTAGAACACATCTCCTATAAGTGGTGGCTCTAGAAGAAACCATTTGGCGACAATGCTACAAATCAAAATGGCTTACCGATGGTGACAACAATATGTCATTCTTCCATCGCATTGTGGCATCGAAGAAACGAAGGAATACTATTACATAAATTCTATCCACCACTGGCATAAGCCTTTTTGAAGAAAATGACATCGAGTAAGAATTTATCTCTTTTTTTTGACAGGTTATACACCAAGAAAGCGAGTCAGAGGTTTTTGCCACATCCCTTGGATTGGAGCCCCATCTCTCAACAATAAAGCACAGAGATAGAGCAACCTTTTACCGAAGAAGAAATCTGGCATGCTGTCAAGGAATTAGAGACAAACAAGTCCCCTAGTCCGGATGGTTACACTGCTGAATTCTAGGCGTGGTTGTGAAGCTGGATATAGAGAAGGCTTTTGATAGTGTTGACTGGGATTTTCTTGATGCAGTCCTTGAGGCTAAAGGGTTCGGTCATACATGGAGGAAATGGATTCGGGGCTGTGTATCATCCAAAAACTTCTCCATCATTATCAATGGCCGCCCGAGAGGGAAAATTATTGCTTCTAGAGGTTTGAGGCAAGGTGACCCTTTATCACCCTTTCTATTTATTATGATTGTTGATGTCTTCAGTCGTCTGATGTCTCACACAGCACGCTACAACTTTATAAAGGGTTTCGACCTTGGAAATCATTCCTTGAACATACATCACCTGCAGTTTGCCAACGACACCATCCTTTTCTCCATATACATTGAAAACTCCCTCAACAATTTGTTCAATATCAGCAGGCTGTTTGAAGAGGCATCTGGGCTTAAAATCAACCATCAGAAATCAGAAATGCTGGGAGTTAATCTTACCGACAGTGAACATACTACCCTAGCAACCAAGTATAATTGTAAAAAGGGATCTTGGCCCACCCTTTACCTTGGTTTGCCCCTACACGGTAAGCCTAAAACCCTCTCTTTCTGGGATCCAATGGTCGAGAAAGTTAAGAAAAGACTTCTCTCTTGGAAAAACTTCCTCATCTCCAAAGGTGGTAGACACACGCTAATACAGACCACACTAGCAAATCTCCCTACCTACTACCTTTCATTATTCCCATTACCATCCAAAGTTGCCAACACCTTAGAAAGCTACATTAGAAACTCTTTGGAGAGGCACTAAGGAACCTGCGGGGTTGAATTTGGTCAAATGGGATACTGCATAACAGCCGATTTCGGAAGGAGGATTGGGTCTTCCCAACTTGAAACAGAAAAACAATGCCCTTCTAGCCAAATGGATTTGAAGATATACACAAGAAAGGATGACTCTGTGGCGTGAGGTGATTGACTCTAAATATGGGATCTCTTCATGGCCCCACAAACCCAACACTACCACCCTCTCATCTGGAAAAGGGCCTTGGAAATCTATTCTCAAGACCAATAAATTGGTTTTTGATAGGGTGGCATTTAAAATTGGTAATGGCAGCTCCACCCCTTTTTGGACAGTCCCGTGGCTGGTCAACGAACCTTTGGAATGTCACTCGCCCTTCCTCTTCGCCTTATCCATGAAAAAGGATGCTGCTGTAAGGGATTTTTGGTCTGAAGAAAACAGATGTTGGAATTTGAGATTGAGAAGGAATCTGAAGGATGCAGTCCTCTCACACAAGGTTTCTGATGTACATCTATCCACAGAAGTAAACACTTTAACTTGGAAGCTTGAATCAAACAGCTTGTTCTCCACTCACTCTCTCACAAAGGACCTCGTACAGCCTTGTCCGAATTCCTCCAAGCGTCTTTATGAAGGCATTTGGAGGGACACATACCCAAAAAAGGTGAAATTTTTCCTGTGGGAACTTAGCCACCGAGCCATAAACACAGGTGACAAACTACAAAAAAGAATACCTTACATGGCTCTCTCTCCCTATTTGTGTGTGATGTGTCAATCAAGCCATGAGACCCAACAACACCTATTCGTTATATGTCACTTTGCTTCTAATTTTTGGAACCACGTCCTTAATACTTTTGGATGGTCCACGTCTTGTCGGCTGATCCCCCTCTCCTTCTTGAAGCTACACTAACAGGACATCCTTTTAGGAAGGAGAAAGCCTTGCTTTGGAAGAATTTTATGTGAGTTTTTTTTTGGATTACTTGGAGGGAGAGAAACCAACGCATCTTCAACGACAAGACTCTCCCCTTTGATAGATTTTTTGAAGCTATAGGTTTTTCGGTCATTACTTGGTGTAAATCCTCCCCTATGTTTCATCACTATAGCTACACTTCCCTCTTAGCAAATTGGAAGTGCCTCTTGTAATCCTCTCTTAAGGCTTTTGTAATTTCATACATCAATGAAATTGTTTGTTTCACAAAAAAAAAAAACATGTTTGTTTCTAAAAAAATGAGAAATAGAAACAAGAAACAGGGTGGAACGTTACCAAACGAGCCATAATATCTCCAATGATGATCTCCAATGATGATCCAAAGGCAGAAGAATAAAAATTATATTTAAATTTAATTTTTGTCCATAAATTTTCAGGTTTATTTTATTGTGATTAATGAAACTTCGATTTTGAATGGCACGACTCTTTCAATTTTTGTGCTGACATTTGAGTTGTCTCTCCTTCTCTTTCAATCGCCATGTATTTTATTCTATTATTTCTTTGTAAAAATACTTAGAGGTGAGAAAATTATTGCTACTCTAAAATTATTTTAACATATAGATAGTGTGAGATTTTGAATAATTAGAGACTGACTTAAATATAATTTGAATAGACAATTATTCAAGTGATTTTGATGGTAACAAAAAACACATTACGATAAATTTGTTTTTTTTTAATTAATCTATAAGAATAGGGTTCATGTTTATTCATATAAAAAAATAAAATTTGAATCTAAAAGAGTGAAATATATGATAAAAGTGATTTTGAATCGAATAATGAAATATATAATTTGCTCTGCCCTCATAATTGCCCTTTCGCTGCCCTAATAAAACTTTAAGCCACCTTCTCTTACTCAGAAAGAACTGAAGAGCGGCGATTCTGTGCGTTAGTCTGTAACGGCCTTGTCCCCGCCGCCGCCGCCGCCGCCGCCGGCTCCTCGCCGTGCCCCGCCGCCAATCCTCCTTCTCTCGGAGCAGAATCAGAGAAGAGGCAACTCCGGGGACTTATATTGCTTGTTCTTCAGCCTTTCTTTTTGTGTTTCGCCAATGGCACCAAATAAGACGAGTAGGGATAGACTGCGAAACCCGCAGCCCTTCCTCGCGGCGGACGACAACCCGTTTCCCAACAAGCAACATTCCAAAGCGCGGAAGCGCCATCATCAGGAGGATGAGATGCTTTTATCGTCCGGGATGAGCTCCAAGATTTTTAGGGAAGCTCGTATTCAGCAGAAAGAGAATGAAATTGAAGCGAAGAACCAACTTCGTGCAAACTCTTTCTTTGAACTACCTGAACAAATTCCCAACGACGATGAGGACGATGAGATTGACGCTTTCAATGGATTCTCTGAAACTCAATCTCATATTGGTACTTTTGAGGAGGTACCGTCGCCTTCTAATAATTTTTCGTATGAATTTTTTAATGAAATAAAGGATATACTGTGCTTTACTTGTCGAATTATATATGGGGTTTGACTATATGGGATTTCAATTGATTTTTTTTCTTCGAATTACTCGTTAAATCAGGAGGACATTGCTGAGGAAGATGAGCGCTTAGTGGAGGCTTTTTTGTCTAAGGATGTAGGGCCGCAACATACTCTTGCTGACCTTATTGTTAGGAAAATAAAAGAAAATGATGCTGTTGTCAGTTCAGGTAATCGATTATATGCATATAAACATTTTTTTTCCAGCTTGATTCATGTTCTGATTTCATTGCCATTGATGTTTGCGAATGCAGAAGCACAACCTCTGCCAAAATTAGATACCTCAGTCATAGACTTGTACAAAGGGTATAAAGTCTGTCAATTCTGTTGATGTTATTTTAATAAAGAAAAGTTGGGATGTGTTTTTGAGCTGGTTTGAAATACTTTTGTGCAGAGTGGGGAAATCTCTTAACAAATATATGGCTGGAAGAATACCCAAAGCTTTCAAGCGCATCCCTTCCATGCAGCTCTGGGAGGAAGTTTTGTATTTAACCGAGCCTGAAAATTGGTCACCAAATGCTATGTTTCAAGCCACAAGAATTTTTGCATCCAATTTGGGAGTAAAAAAGGTGGAGAAATTCTATAAGCTTGTATTGCTTCCTGCAGTACGGAAAGACATTCAAAATAATAAGCGGTTACACTTTGCCTTGTATCAAGCATTGAAAAAGGCCCTCTATAAACCAACTGCCTTCTTCAAAGGAATTTTGCTTCCTCTTTGCGAGGTATTTAATTCTTAACCATTATATGTTATGTGCATTTATATTTCTTCATGATTTTAGCCTTGCTAATTTTATATTCATTCTAAAGATGCTTATTTTTGGATATTAAATTTTATTGTGTGACGAGGTGGATTAACCAGTAAGGTAGATGGTCTCACCCAATTTGGTGGCAAGTGGTCATATGAACATTAAGTCTTAAAAGTTTTGAGCAGTGGTCAGTTGATCAAAAATGATAATTAGCAATGATCATTAACTATAGTTGTAGTCTTATTTGACAAAGCTTGTCAATAGAAGGCAGGTGTAACTCCCTGGGTTTCCTCATGGGGAATAGGGATTGTAGAGTCGTGATGAAGGAGGTCCCTTGTTCCCCTTTTCGTTGGAAAGAGAGTCTTTTGTTTGATCGTTTCCTTTTTTTTTTTGAAAAAGAAACAGATTTCATTAATGTAATGAAATGGAAAAGGAAACAAAAGGGGAAGATCCCAAACCAAGGGAGTTACAAAAAAGCTCTCCAATTGGTTAAAAGAGAAACAAAGCTATAGTGTTTAAAGATAGGAGAACATTTACACCAAGATACAACCATAGACACTATAGCTTCAAAGATGATGCCAACGGAAAGCTCCTTTCCTAAGAAGATCCGGCGATTCCTTTCTAACCATGTCGACCAGAGCAGCGCTCTAACAAAATGCTTCCATAGGATTCCTGCTTCACTGGTGAAAGGGTGCTCCAAAAGAGTGGATGCTAGGAGAGAACAAAGATCCGTGTGTAGGACTATAGGCCAACCGAAGGATGAAAGAATAGAGGCCCATAGCTTTGCTGTGTATTCACAGGAAACAAAAATGTGGCCCATGGATTCTTCTTGTTTTTTACAAAGCACACACCATTGGGGTGAAAGACACATATGCTGCAACTTCTTTTGAAGCTTGTCATGGGTATTAAGGGCATTCCTGTTGACCTCCCATAAAAAGACTTTGATCTTTTTTGGGTAATGATCCTTCCAAATTGATTTGTAGAGCATAGTCTCCTCATGAGTAGTTTGTGAGATTTGTAGATCTTGTAGAAGGGAGTTGACGGAGAAAAGGCCAGATGGTTCCAACTTCCAATTTCCAGACAAATCTATCACATCCCCGATTGATGTGGATGGGAGACAGCCGGAGATGGAGCTCTAGGCATTCATGGATTTCTGCGTCTTTGAGATTCCGTCTAAAACAGAGGTCCCATGATTTTGTAGTTATCGACCACATCTCCTTCACCAAGGCATCTTTGCAGGAGTGTAAAGCAAATAGGAGGGGGAAGACAGTACATAGAGGACCGGGGGCCAGCCATCCATCTTTCCAAAAGAGAACTTTAGATCCATCGCCTATCTTGAAGCAGCTTCTGTCCAGAACATGTTGCTTCCGTTTTAATATAGATTTCCAGGGACCATGGGCAGAAGCAAGAGAATTGTGAAGGGAGCTTTTGTGCCTATCGAGGGGCCCATATTTGGCTTCAATGACTTGCCTCCAAAGGGCCAATTCTTCTGTATGATACCTCCAGA